AGTCAACCATCGATTCCTTGGAGAAGAGCTTGCTCAAAAGACAGAACGAGTGCTCTCTGCTCAGTAAAAACACGGAAGTGTTGAAAAAGCAATTGAAGGAGTTGAAAGCCCAGCGCGTCGCGTATGGTTATGAGATTTCTGGCCTCCTCGTCGAACTTGAGCAGGAATTCAAGGCAAAAAATGATGCGGCCGAGGAAACCACAGCAGCTCGTACCCAGGAGCTTGAGGAATCCAAGAAAGCGCAGACCGTGCTGGAGGAGCGGCTGCAGGCATTCCAGGAGGGGAGAAACCCTTACGAGGAAGAGCTGCAGCGAGTGAAGGAGCAAATGGCTCAGGAAAACCAGGATAATGATGGGAAGATCGAATCTCTGAAGTTGATGGTCTCCGAGGCCGAGCAGAAATTCCAAGCTGCCCAGGATGAGCGGGACCAACTGCGCACCGAGCTTACTCAAGCGAAGGAGATGCGCGACAGTGTCCAAGCTGCGCTGGAGCAAGAGATTGCCGGCCTCAAAGACAGACTCGCCGAGACCGACAATGGGTATCGCGCTTTGCAGGCCGATAGAGATGCTGCAGAAGGCCCATTGAAGGACAAGGTGGCCGAGCTAGAACTCCAGGCTGCTGCTGCCGAACAGAAGCTGGCGACTATCGAAGCCGAGCGAACGACACTGTCCAACGAGTTGACTGAACTGAAATCGGGCGTGGAAGCCCAGGGTAGTACATCAAAGGAAGAGACTGAGACCCTCAAAGCTTCAATAGCCGAGGCGGAACAGAAGCTGCAAGCACTCCAGGAGGAGCGAGACTCTCTCAGCAAACAGTTGGCCGACGCCAATGATACTGCCAATACAGCCGACGCCGCATTGAAGGAGGAGCTGGAGACAATCAAAGCTCAATTGGCCGATGCCGAGCAGGAATCCAGTGCTGTTAAGGATGAGCGCGACGCAATTTCCAAAGAGCTACTTGGGCTGAAGGAAAACCAAGACGCTGCAGGCTCTTCGCTTCAGGATGAGATTTCAAGCCTCAAGGCACAACTTGCGGAGTCTGAACAAAAGCTCCAAACTGCTCAGGAGGACCGCAAGAATGTCGATGATGAATTGACCGAGATAAAGAAACAGCTGCTCGAGGTCAAGGAAGAACGCGATGCCCTGGAGGGCTCACTCAAGGACGAGATCTCAGCACTAAAAGCACAGATTTCTGAAGCGGAAGAAAAACAATCATCGATGCAGGAGGCTTCCGCTAAGTTGGAGGGTGAGCTTGCAGCAGCCGAAAAGGCTTTGGAGGAGCAAAAAGTTGCACTGGCTGATGCCGAGTCGAACCACCAGGCCTCAAAGGAGGCCTACGAAAAACTGCAGGCAGATACTGAGGCGGAGTTGTCGTCACACAAGGCGGAGATGAGCGATCTGAATGCTAAACTGGCTGGCCTGGAGGGTATCAACGAAGAACTGAAGAAGGGTGCGACTACGGACCTTGACGGGGCACAGAAAGAAGCCCTGGAGTGGAGAGAGAAGCATGATGCCCTTCAAAGTGCCCACGCCACCTTGGCTAAGGATGCAGAGACATCGAAACAGCAAATTACAGACGCCCAAGGCGAGACAGTCTTGATTCAGTCAAAATTATCAGACCTAGAAAAAGCATACGAATCTTTGAAAGGTGATCTGTCAGAGCTCGAAGCTTTGAAGAAGCAGCTGGCCGATGCTGAGGAAGAAAATAAGTCCATTCAAGCAAAGCTTTCGGAAGCATTAGAAGGCGGTTCTTCGGACCTCGAGGCTACAAAGAAGGAGCTGGAGGATTGGAGGGAGAAGCACACTGCTCTTCAAGCCGCCCATGACTCCTTGGCCGAAAGCACGAAAGCGCAACTTGATGCTGCTGATAAGGAGAAAGAAGCCGTCCAGACAAAGCTTGCAGAGCTTGAGAAGGACCATGAATCAGCAAAGGCTGACGTAGAGCAGCTCGAGGCTACCCGGAAAGAGTTGGAGGCTTGGAAAGAGAAACATGATGCTCTCCAAGCCACTAATGAGGACCTATCTAAGGCCTCCGACGCCACCGTCAAAGAATTGAACGACATCAAAGAGGACCGGGACGCAGCCCAAAACAAACTTCTAGAGGCAGAAAAAGCCATCGAGGAGCTTAAGAACAACTCATCTGCCGATGTCGATGCTTCTAAGAAGGAAGTCGAAGAGTGGCGGGAGAAGCATGATGCTCTGCAAACTTCCTATGATGATTTGCACAAGACCTCTGACGCTGCAGCCAAAGAGTTGATTGCAACCAAAGAGAGTCATGACTCGATTCAGTCTAGGCTGCTGGAGGCAGAAAAACTCAATGAAGATTTGAAATCAGGAGGCTCTGCTGATCTAGAGGCCGCCAAGAAAGAAGTCGAAGAATGGAAGGAGAAGCACAGTGCTCTCGAGGCAACGCAGTCAACATTAAGCGAGACGTCGGAATCCACAGCAAAGGAGCTCGCCGAGGCTAAGGAGAAGCACGAGGCTCTGCAGACGGAGATTTTCGAGATCAAGAAGCTCAATGAAGAGCTCCAGTCTGGAGTCGCTGCTGACCTTGAGGCTGCCAAGAAGGAAGCTGAGGAGTGGAAGGAAAAACACGGCGCTCTTGAGGCCACACAGTCGACTTTGAGCGAAACATCAGAGGCTACAGCGAAGGAACTTGCTGAGGTCAAGGAGAACTATGAGGCCTTGCAAGCGGCACAGAACACCCTGACCACAACTTCGGAGGCTGTTTCCAAGGAGCTAGCTGAGATGAAGGAGAAACACGAGGCTCTGCAAGCTGAAATATTGGAAGTTAAGAGGGCCAACGAAGACCTCCAGTCTGGAGGCTCTGCTGACCTCGAGACTGCTCGCAAGGAATTAGAAGAATGGAAGGAAAAACATAACGCCATTCAGCTTGCTCAGGAGGAAGCAAGTAAAAAGTCGGAATCACTGGCTACAGAGTTGGCTGAAGCGGAGAAGAAACACCAAGCGCTTCAAGCCAGCTTATCCGAAGCTGAGAATGCCAACGAAAAGCTCAAGAATGAAGGATCCTCAGACCTCGAAGCTGCCAAGAAAGAGATCGATGAGTGGAAAGAGAAGCACGCCTCTCTCCAAACTCAACATGAAACTCTTACGGGAGAGGCTCAAACGGCAACAACCCAGCTCAAAGAAATCGAAGAAAAGAATCGAGCCAGCCTGGCTGAGAAGAACTCCGAACTGAATAACGCAAAGGAGGCCGCCGAAGCATTCGAGGCGAAGCTCAAAGCATTGTCTGAAGATCAAGAATCTTTGAAGAAGGAACATGAGTCGCAGGTCGAGAAACTGAAGGCTAGTCTTAAAGAGCACGAGGCAGGCAGTGAGAAGGTGAAGGCTCTTGAAGACGAGCACGATCAATTGCAGAAGAAGCACGAAGAACAGACTACAAAACTGTCGGAGCTCACTTCTCAACTCGAAGCGGCCGAGGGCAAGGCTGCGAAAGCAGAAGAAGGGATTGAGTCTCAGGCGAAGGTATGTAATAAGATCTAAAAGACTTCAAGGTGCCGCAACTAACAAAGAGACAGGAAAAGGCTGAACTCGAAGCCAAGATTTCTCAGCTTGATTCAGAAGCTCTACAGTCCCAGAAAGAGGACGCTGAGCTTAAAGCCCAGCTTCAGGAGGCCCAAAAGAAGTTGGAAACCGCTGAAGATGAGATCAAGGCCGCCAAAGGGCTTGAAACCGAAATCATGTTGAAGCTTCAGGAAGCTCAGATCAATCTCTCGACAGTAGAGGATGAGAAGAAAGGCGCACTTGACAAGATAGCTGCCATGGAAAAGAAGATCCAAGAGCTAGAGGAAACGAAGAAGGAAGTCAAGGAGAACGGCTCAATTAAGAAAGACAACAGCAAGGAGGGCGAAGAACCTGCTGCCACGCCCAGCCAAGAAGCTGACTCCGACGCACCTAAGCCTAAGGCTGACAACTAGGTTCGACTCTAAGGAGAAGGGGAGGGATGAATGATGGTTTATAATTGGGAAGGCTTGAATATCTAATAACGCGACCTTTTATCGAGTGATACCCACGAAAGATTATTGGCAGCTTGGTCGTGTTGGGCGGAAATGGGCATTGATTTCACGAGATGATGTTTTTCGGGAGGCAGAGTTGATGGAAAGCGATTTGCATTTGGCCTTTGAGGCTCACAAGGATATGTGATGTTCCATGTGATGAGGTATATTATTTGAATGCAAGATGCGATTTGGTCAGAATTTGTTCCCGGTATGATCTAATCATACAGACTTTCACCTGCTCGGACTGTGCTCTATGAGGAGAGAACTGATTCCTCAATGTTGTCTCTCATTCATCTGTGAACACTGCTTTGTCAGTCGTACTTCAAATTGCGCCAATTTCTTCCGCACCATTCTAGGAACTGGGATGTAATTCCCCTTCACAACCACGAGAGAGTACGCTATGATCGGCAAGGAGATAGACTACAATGTGTCACGGGCATGGCTTGAAATTGATACTCTGTTTAACGCGAGTGACCGCTGGTTCGCAGGTATGGGATCCTTGAGAAGCCAAATTGAGCCTCGCACAGAGGAGCCAATCCGACGCGCATATTAGTAAATGCCAACAGACTGCAAATTGTTTCAAAAATTGACTTAGACATATGGCAAATGAGTCATTCACAGGTCTTGGGAATATCCCCGGGCTCGCACGTACTTGAGTCACTTCGTCGGATGTCCGCCGAAGCACCAAAATCCGCCGCCATCGGCCTGGATGACTGGTTTTCGGCCCCTCCACGATCCATCATGCCGGCCCCGGATTCCCACTTAGTTTACGGGAGCCGGTGGGTATACTCTTAGAACAATAATTCAGGTACAAGTGAAGTATATAAACTTCGTCATCCTTCCAGTTGAAGATCTGTACAGTCCAAAAAGTAGATTTGAAGCTCATCCGCCATCTGATTCCATCTATTCCTTCCGAAACCTTTGAAACCTTTGAAAATCCCCCCCAACAAGAAATCCACACCTTTTTGATAACATCAGAACTATGTGCGGGAACGAGGAATCTACCGGCACTGCGCCCAGCCAGCGTGCTCCCCCGGCCACGCCCTACCAGGCCGTCCAGGACTACATCTCCAATGTGAACAGCTACAAGATTATCGAGAGCACTCTCCGCGAAGGTGAACAGTTCGCCAATAGTTTCTTTGACACAGAGACCAAGGTCAAGATGTATAGGCTACCCCCGGCTGACTCTCTTGTGTGCCAATGCTAACACGGGATGCAGTGCCAAGGCGCTCGATTCATTCGGCGTTGATTACATCGAACTTACGAATCCTTGCAGCTCGGAACAATCCTTCCAGGATTGCAAGACCATCTCTAACCTTGGCCTCAAGGCCAAGATTCTTACCCATGTCCGGTGCCACATGGGCGACGCCAAGAGGGCTGTCGAGGCAGGAGTAGATGGTGTAGATTTGGTCATTGGAACCTCGCAGTATCTCCGAGAGTACAGCCACGGGAAGAGCATGGAGGTGATCCAGAAGACGGCCTTGGAGGTGATTTCATACCTACAGAGGTGAGATTGTAACACCATTATATTGGCGGTACAGCCTCCCACGGCTGTGGGTCAATTTGCAGTAACTGGGTATCAATGCTGACCGACTTTTTGTTGACAGCCAAAATGTTGAGATCAGATTCTCCTCTGAGGACTCCTTCCGTTCTGACTTGGTTGATATTCTCTCGCTCTATAAGGCAGTCGATAGAGCGGGTGTTCACCGCGTTGGTATTGCCGATACCGTGTTAGTTCCCCCGTCGGCTAATGAATGAACGATTTGCTAACTGATAGAAGCGGTGGGGGTATGTCTTACTTTGCTTGTTCTCGTTTGCCGTTGACGGCCACGATTATCGGTCCGATATTCTAACTAAGTGATTTCAGCAACTCCTCGTATGACGTACGACGTGGTCCGCACTCTTCGTGGTAAGATTCCATTTAGTGTTAAAATATGCCTGGGAGACCGACTGATTGGTGGTGTAGGTGTTGTTGGCTGTGATATTGAGTGCCATGTAGGTCCTTGAGAAGCTCATCTGGGTCCTCATCAATACACTAATCCTTTGAGTAGTTCCATGACGATACTGGCTGCTCAGTGGTAAGTCCTCTCATATCTTTATGTACATTCTTTCATATGCTGACTTCGATGTTTCATCACCATAGGCGTAAGTTTAAATGTCTGGTTCTTTATTCAGTTTTGAGCACTGGTATTGATACTTCATTTTAAGAAATGCGTTCTGTGCACTTGAGGCTGGCGCAACGCATGTTGACACATCCGTCCTCGGCATTGGTGAGCATTTCACAAGCCGCGACATTCCGCACAAAACTAACATGAAAAATCCAGGCGAGCGAAACGGCATTACGCCGTTGGGTATGTCCATGTCGAAAATAGTATCAAGCCTTTACTAACCCGAGAAGGTGCTTTCATGGCAAGAATGGTTGTTACTGCCCCCGAGTACACAAAGTCCAAGTACAACCTCAAGGAGCTGAAGGCTCTTGAGACTTTGGTAGCCGATGCAGTAGAGATCAATATCCCGTTCAACAACCCGGTCACGTCAGTCACCGCTTTCCCCAAGCTATAAAGGCTTGCCAGAGACTAATATCGTGACAGAGGCTTTTGCGCGTTTACACACAAGGCTGGCATTCACGCCAAGGCCATCCTCGCCAACCCTTCGGTAAGAATCTTTCTATATGAAAGGAAGTATACCCATCTTAGCTGACGTTCCTCGAGACATACGAAATCCTTGATCCCGAGATATTCGGTCTTTCTCGCTACGTGTCGATCAACAGCCGCATGTAAGCTGGACTTGAAGTTCACTGAGATGTGAATAGAGACTGACGTTAGCCAGAACCGGTTGGAATGCTGTTCGTTCGAGAGCTGAGCAGTTGGGCCTCAGTATGACTGATGAGCAGGTCAAGGAAGTGTAAGTTCGAACCTTGAAACCACGTTGAGGCGCGGAAGCTGACAGGAGCGAAAACAGGACCGCCAAGATCAAGCAGATGGCCGATATCAGACCCCTTGCCATTGATGATACGGACAGTATCCTTCGGTCATTCCACCTTGAGCTTCAGCAGTCATAAGTAATGGGTATCTGCACCAATCTATTTGGACCTTTGGGGGGTTATGAGGTAAAATTAAAATGTCGTTGGGCCGAAAAAAGGTGTTTCTAATTTGATAAGAAATACAAAATGATCCTCCTCCTTCTCCATTATCTACCTTCATATCTCAGGAAAGCCACGTAAAGAGTGCGAAACAAAGAAGAATGTGATGCTCGAGGCAGAAAATGAATATTTGTCATTGAACCTGCTAATTTTACTTCTGGGGAAGGCTAATTCCTTGAGCCTTCCAATTCATCTGTTCCTGGACCCCAATGGAGGTTTAACGAGGGCATGCCAGTAACTCCACGTAATCACCCACGAGCAGAATCATGGAATGGTTCAAAAAAAAAAAAAAAAAAAGAATCAAGCACCTAATCTCATGGAAACAGCGTCAATAGAAAGAGCCTTCTGCAATACTTATTCAAGACTAGCAGAAGGAAGCAGCATGAGGCAGGAGCGGTGAGGTGGATTAGGTCAGCACTTCCTCCAAAATACGCCGCGGATCGAGGGAACGTGGTTGCACACCATCACGATCGTCAAGTCAAACGTATCCCAGATTGAGAAAGTTCGGGAACATTGGAATCATGGGCTCATCGGATATCCCACCCCCATCAGCGCCGGATTGGCTCATCCCGGCCTCGACTGCCTGCCTAGGCCTAGGCGTCTTCTTCTGGCTGGCAGCGTATGTCCTCATGGTCCAGCGCTCGCTCCAGACAAGAGACACGCCCATGCCCCTGATCGCGCTCGGAGTGAATCTCGCCTGGGAGGTCGTCTGGGTAGTCTATGTCGCCGACTCCATCCTCGAGAAGCTTGGCTTCGCCCTGTGGCTCCTCTTCGACGTCCCAGTGCTCTACGCGACGCTTCGCGCTGCGCCGCGCTCCCTCAGGTCACATCCGCTCATCGCTCGGCGCTTCTCCCTCGTCCTGTTCCTTGTGTTCCTGTGGGGTGTCGCGGCCAACGCGTCCTTTGCCTGGTGGTGGCTCAAGGAACCGCATCGGGGGTACGGCATCAAATGGGGGAAGACGTGGTTCGGCCAGGAAGCACGCGACACAACCGAGCTGTCCTGGTGGGCGGCCGGCACAGCCCAGATGGCCTTCAGTGTTGGTTCTTTGGCAATGGTACTCCAGCGCGGCCATTCGGGTGGTCAGAGTTATGCAATCTGGTACGTCTGTTCCCCTTTAGGCGCTCAGCTCATGCATCTACTCATCCATCCCGTCACTATCACCAACAAATTATGTACATCCTCCACAACGTGTCCGCACACACTGTAGGATGTATGGCGGTGGCCGAGAATTATCGGATCGCTGATAACCATGGGGACGCCCGATGGCTTCGCCGTGTGTTGGTCCCGTACCATTGTCATTGTTGTTGGCAGCTGAAAGACCGGTCAATCCCGTCGCCTCGGGCCATGGCAGCTAAGCCAGCCACTCAGCACGAGCGGCCAAAAGGAAATTTTGATTTAAAATGAGCGGCTCGTGACCATGAATGTCTCGGATAGTGATCGGGCTAACAGGTGTGCGTCTAGGTTCTGCCGGTTTGTTGGATCGCAAATGGGACTCCCTCTTGCATGTGGTCTGCTGTGGTGGTACTGGCCCGAAGCCCATGGCTTCATCTTCCATCCTGTTTCAGGCATCATCATTGGCACGTCGCTGCTGTGTGACATTGCTTACCCCTTTGCCTTGGCTTATGTGAGGGGCACGGAACGCATCTTGTCCGACGGCACAATAGTCGCTGGATCATTTGAAGCCCACGCGAAGGAGGAATGAATGAAACAATAGACTCACTCGGGATGAACACGGACGCTGTCGTGTTGGAGGCGTGTCCGATCAACCAACCGATCACACCCCCATTCAAGGCAGCGGCAGGCGATAGTCACGCACGCACTCTCTGCAGCCTCCGACAAAAGAAGAGATAGCAGCAACTAGCCGCAAGCCTCTCAACGCCGATCACAACCCGACCAACAAACCGGGCAACCTTATTGAGTTGGTGGTGCTCTGTTCACTCAACTAGTTCGCAACTCCTACCCAGACTATCGGGTTGCTTCGCTAGGTTTCTTGGACGGTAGTCTCTTGCGAGCTCGCAATAGAGGACTAGGACCATTACGGGCGGCTAATCGATCTCCAAGTAGTCACGAAGGAGGGTCGGTATCATGTACAACCTCGGCCAACTCTTGTATCTCTCGCGATCATCACTACATTGGGATAAGTTCCTACTTTTACTTGCCACCTGGCCCGTCTGCGTATATTTACACATCCGTGCTCTGTCACTTTCGCATGCTGGTCTCAGATTGTGGACTGGTGCAGTACTAGACGAGTGGGCTGTATTGACCAGAAAACGACCAGTATCTATTGTGTCACTAATTGCGCCCGGTTAACGCAGGCAAAAGGAAATTCCTTGGAGGCCTAAGAGAACCAATGACACGGAACCAGAAAGTGACGTTCCTCCGAGCAGAAGTCCCTGATCGATTGTAACCCTCCACCACCATCCGATATCACACGCAGGGCAGCCCGGTCTGGCTTCTTTTTTAAACAAAAGCAAAAAAATTCCGCGTGACGAAATTGGACTTCCAGCATATGCCTGACCTGTAAGCACGGCACGGGAAGGATCCGTTCACCCCCCCTACGCAACGTACCACATTGTGTACTTTTGGTACTCATGTTGGCGGCATGTTCCTCATTACTCGTGCCAATGATTCCTTTGGAAAGGAACAGGGAGGGCAGTAGGGGCGTGGATGACGCGAGCCTGGGCGGTGGCAGCTGTGATGGCCACCTATCTCTGATGCCGCCAAAAATGCGATCAGTCACCTTCAGCTCCCAAGGTTCTGTCATCTGCCCAGCCCCGGATTGGGCAGCTCGGGAATAGGTATCTCCCAGACTCTCACGCCGGAACTGGAGGCCCTAGAATTCTCCGCGTGCGTTAAATTTTGCCCGTGAGTAGAGGGAAGTTGTCGCCTCCACGTACGGTGGTACAGGCGAGTTCGCATCAGAGGCTGGTGGCGACCCAGGGAACAGGCGAGACAGGGCATGGGAGAGAGATGATGAGGCGGCTCAAGCAGACCTATGTACAGTGACCGACCTCTTGGCGCCACACGCGCGGGCGCACGTATCCTTGCATGCAGGCTTAGAGGAGTGACCGATCATGGCAAAGAGGCTCAATTCACCAAATCGGTGGGCGATGACTGGACAACGAGCGCGATGAGACCAGCTGGACCTTCCTTCACAAACGGTCATGGCGGGATCCGTCTTGGCCAAGCCTGGTTGTCTCGTTTCACAAACAATGATCAACGTTGCATTTTCCAACGGCGGATGAGGATGATGCAGGTGTCTATGCGAGTGGAGGTTTTATGCATTGGACATCTCGATGGATGTACGTTTATCCATCGATTTGCGGGTTAGTTTGACGTTTCTCCTCAGGCAAAACAGACTCTCGGGCTGTCTGGGGTAAGGGATGCAAGAGGGGGGAGCTGGGGGGCTGGGGGGCTGGTAGCCTTTGACAGGTGCCAGAAGGCAGGACAAAAGGTCCACCAAAGGAAATCAAGCAAAAGGTCAGGGTCACAGGGAGCCAAAGCCAGGGTTCAGCACCCAAAGGAAGGCCTGATGGGTGATGCATGTCATCCCTGGCAACTGCTGACGCGGAACTGGGAAAGCTTCTCGATCACTAGCCGAACGTCGCCGCCGGGTGAGAGAAGCAATATTCCACGAGGATTTCCCAGGAAAGATCGCCTAACAAGCCACTCCCCTGGGATTCCCTGAGAATGGAATTGGGCAGGATGCGAGCCCTGGACGGGTTGTTTTACCCGCCAAAACCACGCCAGGCAACCACATGCGCCGGCTTGGCAAGATTCCTCCGATGATCGGTTTGGGCCGTGATTTTGTTGGCTAATTGTTCCTTTTCTACGCCTCACCGAGATCGGGAGCCCGGTGTATTGCGTAAGTTTGCATATTATGTGTGTGGACGGTGTCATAAAATGATAGACAACTTCTCTTTCCAATTCTGTCTTGCAAGACTCCGGAAACTTCCAAGTTTCATTTGCCTGTTCCAGCCTGTCGCAATAACCTTGTCATTTTCCCCAAGACAGAAGCCGAAACTTTTCTCCTTAAAGCGCAAACTCCTCTCCAGTACTAGCCGAGTCGGCTGTCACCGGGACCGGTAACCACTCAGCTGCCACTCTCCTTGCAATATCGGTGGACGGCGGGATCCTCGGTACCTAAACAAACCCCTGGACACTTGAGCTCCAGAGAGAACGTTACTATAGATGGACTCGACCCCTGGCAATGATGGACAATAACGGCAAGCGAGAACGAAGAATGGTGAATCAAGGGCAGGTCTAATGCCACTGTCAAGAAATTGCTTATAGCTACTGTTAATAACCCGGATAGGAAAAAGATATACTTATTACTATACTATTAAAAAGTACCTCTTATAACTATATTTTACCTATAATAAGGAAGTAGCTTTTTATTAGGGGGATTAAGGGTATATCCTAGCTTATAATAATACCCTAACTACCTATATAATAAAGCTATAATACTATATTTCTAAGTAATAAGATAAGAGGAGATATTAGAGTAAATATAAATAAATCTTTAGTTATTTTATAAATTATTATATAATAAAAATAGGCTAAATAAAAACCCTAGATATTTACTCTTAATAGTATTATAATACTAGCTAATTAGTAGCTATATACTAACCTTAAAGCTATAAGATCTTTCTTAAATTCTATAAGATTAAGCTTCTAAGGAGATAATAAGCTATTTAAATTATTTAAAAGAAAAGAGAATTTACTATAATTATATTCTTTCTATCTATATATAATATACTATTTAAAAGCTATAGTCTTATAAGGGTATAAGTATAGTAGATATTTATTATACTACTTTAGAGATTAAAGAGAAAGAGGAATATTATAAGATTAGAATAACTAATAGAGATAGAGAAAGTAAAAATTAATAAGTTTATCCTAATAATTTATTAAACTA